CAACATCAAATGTGTGGTGATTTGCGAATCCTTTTACCACCCAACACAAATATATGTCACAATTTTATATGGATTTCAACTAATACGTAGTGTTGTGGTTGTTTAAGATTCAAGAAATAATTTCTTTAAACCTTGCACCAAATGTAGCTAGCAATAGGATGAAATATATATATATATAAACTAAAAAATGACTTGGGGACTATTTGGTATGAGATGTGCTTTTGCTTTTACTTCTTGTAGATTTTTTTTTTTTTTTTTTTTTTGAGTAAATTACCTTCTTTTAAAAACTCTTATAATCAAACAAAACGCTTTTAGAAAATTATTTAAACATATTCAGAAATAGTTTCTTAGTCTCGAAAACAATTTTTGCTTTTTCTTTAAAAGCTTATTAGATGAGCTTTTAATTTGTTATTGAATTATGATTACTTATGTTGGGATCTTGCTACATATACATCAATATTTACATAATGGATTACATAATATCATATCATATGTCAATTTTAAAAATAACCAACTTTTTTATCAAATAGTTTCCCTCCACATCATATTATGTAATTCATTGTGTAAATTTTTTTTTTTTTTAATGTGCAAGTAGCAAAATCCATTATGTTAATGTTCGGTTAACGGAAAGGTTAGAGTACCAAAAATTATTACACACCTTTTGTCACTTAAAAATGCATAAATCCTGCCGAAAGAAAAAGAAAAAAAAAAAGTTGGAAGTAGGGAGGAACGTTCCCAGAAATTATAATGAATTATTAAAATATTTAGCCTCAACATAAAGCAAAAGCAACAGGAAACTTTCTATAATATTTAATGCATGTTACTATTTCTATGAATGAAGCAATAAATATAAAACAGCAAAGCCACCAGAAAAGGTTGGAGATTTGGACACATTGTTCGACATAGTTTTATCATATTCTAATAAAAGTTGATCGGTACGCCTCTTTAAACACGTGTTTAAAATTATTTTTTGACTTCAACCTCAAATTTTTAACAATTTTTCAAGTTATAAACTGTAAAACATGCTTGCATGCTTCTAACAGAAATTCAAATTATAAAACTTACTTGAAACCAGCAAAACAAGGTTGAATCACTTGCTTTTTGTTTGCTTGTCTCGTAAACTGCTTTGTACTCACTCCTTGGTCGAAAATTTGATCAAAAAGGAAGGAATTTGATAGCCACAATCTAAAAACCAATTTATAGATGATATACTTCAAAAACAAGTCATCACCCACATGTATTTTTCTCTCTTGATTTTTATACGAATTTGTGTATGCATATCTTTTTCTTTTTATGGTGGAAGTTGTCTTTGGGAGTTGTGGGTTGCGAGGAGTTGAGTTTCAAATTCAATTTTCTCAATTTACTCAAATTCTCCCTCCAATAATACTCTCACATAACCCGGGTCGGGTCGCATGGACGATCCATTTTCTTCCAACATAAACAAATAAATCTATTTAGTTCAATTTCACCGTCACTCATTTATGAACATTCTATGTATCAAACATGTTATGAAACTGGATCCGGCCGGTTTATGATAAAACTTATTGAAAACTATAATATATAAATTAATAAATAAATGATTTACCCTTAAATTTATTGGGAAAAAGATTCACTTTGTTAGCGCTATACAAATATCATACTCTACATTACCTACGAAATTATTTTGTTTTTCACTTTTGGAATGAAAGACTAAAGTATGAGGTGGAGATAGAGCGAAGACGTTGAGGAACAAAATACTACACTAACATACTAAAGTCCATAAGAAATGATGATATATGTTACTAAGTAAAGTTGAACGAGGATAAATTTATTGGAGGAAGATATTTATAGGTGATCGAGACATTTTATGCAAAGACATAGCCCCCCTCTTTGGCCCCGATTATATTATAATTCATTTTTTTTTCTTTTCTTATCAATTACACATTCTTTAATAAAATAATATTATACGTAAATTCAAAAAAAAATTCTTTATTTTTTAATCACACATTCTCCAAAATATTATTATTATTTTTTTATTATAATATGAAATAATAGGGGTTAAACGGACGCATAATCATACTCACATTTGTAAGGCAATACTGTCTATCTCGATATAACGTGTAGAATAGAAATGAGTAGACGAAAAAATAAATTTAATCATTTTTGAAACTATAATTGTTTGGATATGGAAAATCAACACACAATGAACTCAAGCTTATCATTGTTAAAGAAATCATATGGTGGAGGGAAATGGTCAACAAAGAAACACAACTAAATTTAATCATCTTTGAAACTAATAATTGAAACTTTCTAAGGATTAAAGAATTTATCCACTAACATGCATATCTCTTGCACCCTTTTGCTTTAGAAATCATCTAATTAAATTGTAGTAAAAAATATTAGTAGAAATGATATCATGCCTTTAATTTAGAAGCTTTTTTCGGAAAAAAAAATTGAAAAATATATTAAATCCCGGTTCGGTTTTGTTAAAAATCATACTTTTAGTACATTTTAATTATTAACATCGACTTAAATTTTTATGAACTTCTTTAACTAAACCTAGCATGGACTAATATCACATTATGTAAAAGTTAAGCTTACCTCGAGAAACCATATAGATATTATTTTAAATTTAGAATTTAATATGCCTTGTCACGTATAAGCTAAATTAATACTATCCAATCAAATATAGCCAAGCGTACCAAACATATCCTTAATAGTCAAAGGATATCGAAACTACACTAATCAAGAACAAAGGTAAATTGACCCCCGTTTGGTCTAAAGTTCTTAGCAGTGGTTTGTTCAAAAGAATATGTGATAATATTCAAAATTGAAAAGTTGGCAGTTAAATTATAATGCTCTTGATTACTTGTTATATTTTGTAATGGATGAGTGGATGAACTCCGGTCGTGAGACCTGAAAAAGTAATATACTTAAAGGCTCGTTTGGCAGAATTTTTGAATAATTAAAAATTTAAAAGTGAATTCCAAGACTAAAAAGATGATTTTGAACACGTTTAAATAATTTTCTGGAATTTGTTTGGCTAGAAGAGCTTTTAGAGAAAACTAATATAATATTGCTTATTCACGATGCTACGTTCTGCAAAAAGCAAAAATCGTATCAAACACGCCCTTATTTTTCTTGTATGTAAATATAGATAAATAAAATTAAGATAATATTTTTTTTTTCTTTAACCATCTTCTCTAAAAGTTTAAACTATCATAGAATCATCATAAATATTCATTTAAATTTCGTCGTCATCACGTCCCTTCAAGTACACATCGGATTCTTTTTTTTTTAAATCAAAAAGTCTTTAAACCTGCATAGTTTTCAAAAATACCTAACCCCCCCTCCCCCTACACACACACACACATTCTTTGGCTCTTATACTCACCTAAATCTTGAATTAATCAAATTTTAATAAATATTTAAGCTAATCCTTTGAATTTGACACCAATTTAGCGAGGAAGAAGCTTGAATAATTGGAAAGCAATCATAAGATTTTAGAATAGAAGGATAAAACCTCTACATGTTAACTTGGCGGGTTGCTCCATCCAACACATGATGTGTCTCAAACACAAGAGGAGTGAGTATTAAAGTAAAAAAAAACCGTCGAGTATAATATTTGAATTTATATCACATCCTAAAGATTTGAATAATTATTTAGATTTCAATATCTATTGTGGACTTCTCAACTTGTAATAGGGTTTGTATAGAGCATGATGTTGGTAAAGAAAGTACCTTTTAACTATGCTCATAGTCTTAGAAATCTAGGCAAGACTCATGTTAGTTAAAAAAGTTTTATTCTTTGACACAAGCATGCGTTCGATTATTCCCCTATTTGACTCTGCTAAAAAAATATAGTTTTTGTAAATTTTGATAAAAGTTGATGAAATGTATGGTTAAAAAAATGTTAAAAGTTATGATAATATGAAATGTGTAATTATAATTAATCATTGACTTAATTTTTTTAAAACTAAACCAAACAGAGGCTAGATAGGCAAATGACTCTCTTACGTTAAATGCATTTCAAAACTTTTCAATTCTCATCATCATTTTCGACCACACATTTACACAATAAAATATTTGTACATAAATATAATTTTTTCCCTACGTTTTAACCACATATTCGCTAAAAATTCACTATTCAAAATTCCAGTTTCTCAAATTAATGACCATCAAAATAGGGGCTTAATGTCATGTAAGCTCACGTGTATTTTTTCTTTTAAAAGTTGACTTTTCTTAGTAATCGAGTTTTAGTGCCCGTGTTTTTGAGACTAAAAAGCTGTTTTTGAGTTTATTTGGATAATTTCTGGAAGTATTTTGCTCGATTTGAAGAGTTTTTAAAGAAAACTTACCTAAAATAACTTCTTCAGTAAGTTCTTCTACAAAAAACAAAAACAAAAACAAAAGCAAAATAAAATATCAGTTATACAAGCCGTGTCTCCAACTCTTATTCACATTAAATTAACTATATGTACGAAAGACCATACCATAAATTAAATATATTGTTTGTATTGTGTTTTGGGAAAAATCATAAATGGGCAGCATGGGAGTTGATTATATTAAGGATCGATGTTCATACGAGGCATACCTTAGTATTCACGTCATGTTGGGAGGATTGTTTCTAGTCATAATTTATGTAACTTTTATGCTTTCTATGTGTTGTGTTCTTTCTCATTCTCCAAGTCATTGAGATAAAACTTGTCTCACCATATCACAATTTCAAAGTAAAAAATAAAATAAAAAATCGGCCATGATCTTCATTAGGCCCCCGTTTGATCTACATTATTATCTCATTAAAATGAAAAATATGATCGTTATCAATCACATCAACATTTAGGTTCAAATTTTCTTTCTTTTACGTGGGCCCCAATAACGGCTATATTTTTCATTCTCATTTTACAATAATTTGGCTCAAACAGGACCTAAAACCTTCTTCCAAGTATTTTCAAGAGAAATACAAGTTAAATCTACACGAGGTTAGCACTTATATTAAACTCGTATACCATAGGCTCATATGATAGCCTAACATACACATACGAGTTATTTCGTAAAGTAAATTATACAATAAGAAAAAAGAATATATTACATATTCATCGTCAAAATTGATATACAAACACGTAATGTCTTAACGTTGAACAAAAATATTCTCTCTGCCTCTCTCATGTGCAACCCCTCATCTCGTGCTTAGATTCCTAATCAACATCCTTGCATGATAATTTAAGTAAAATAATGACAACTGCATACCTAAGTCACGAGACAAGCAACATGTGGATCAAACAAATCAAAATGTTAGCCTTCTGTCACGCGACATCACGTGATTGCTGGTTTTATTTATTAGGGAAAAAAACCTATGCCTTATGTTCGGGGAAACATTTTACGAACTTCTGATTTTACTTTTATAAGATTGTCAAAAGTCAAACATTAATTCCAACCATATATCTTATGATTATTCAAACATTTCGTGGCTCACACCGCAAACCTTGACATGTCACGTATTTATGAATCAAATATGATTTCTAATGGTGTCATAGATCTGTCTTGCTATGGATCAAGAATAAGATCATGAAGATCCATCCAATACTGTATTTATTCTGTGGTCTGCTGATTTAGATCTAGATCCGAAGTGATTTTGTACTTGCACATTTTTGCATTCAAATTCATACTTTTTTTTGATATTTTTCTCGAAAGGTATCGAAATTGAACTGCAGAGTATTACGGAGTACGTACTGCTTCATCTAAGAGTTTTAGTCCTAAAGAATAGGCCCTCGGTAAATTCATGTGGATGATGTCGAGTCTTTCTTGTCATGAAAAATCTTGTCTAAATTCGTTATTGACAAAAACTCTTATTTTTCTCCTCGTAATTAGTTATCGAAGAAAAATTATACAATGAAGACAAGTCCCAGCTATGCATACAGCATACTTCGCGATAGCAATTGGCTGAAAGTGATAGAAGTGCAGAAAAAAAAAATCATATAAAAATAAATCCCAATAAAAGTTTAAAAAATTATATACGATTAAAGGATGTATAGGTCACACGCATAGCGATAGAAGTTGATACTAAAAAATCTCCAGTGCGTACTCACTAGTCATTCACTTGTCTCTTACCTTTCTCATTTTAATACAAAAACAGCCATTTCTCCGTCTGCAGACTACTATAAAAAAATACAAAAAATTAGCCATCTAAAATTCCATTTCTCTCTGCAAAAACATAATGGCCTAGCTGTTCTTGGATCCGGAGATTCTGGTTTCTTTAAACTTATTATATAAACCCTTAGTTTAATCCATAGCCCACATGACATGATTTTGTTTTTCTCCCAATTGTTTCTCCCTGGGCTCAAATCTTCTTCCTATTATCCGTGTTTGCACACATTGGAGTTTGTAGCATAAGTCTAATGCCTGTTAATCCATGGACCCTTTTCTGGGCTTCCTTTTTTACCGTTTTATCAACTGTTGCAGGTTTGAATCCACAAGGGGAAGCGCTTATCGCGTGGAAGAGCACGTTGAAGGGGTCCCTCAAGGCTTTAAGCAATTGGGATCCTACAGATGATACCCCTTGTGAATGGTTCGGATTAACTTGCAACTTCAATAAAGAAGTTGTGGAGCTGAATTTGAAGTACATGGACTTACTTGGACATGTTCCGAGTAATTTCAGTTCATTGGTGTCGTTGAAGAAGCTAGTCTTGTCCGGGACAAACTTGTCAGGATCAATTCCAGAGGAGATTGGAATTCTTCCAGAATTGGTGTACTTGGATTTGAGTGACAATGCATTGACAGGTGAAATTCCAGGTGAGACTTGTCACTTGCCTATGCTTGAACAACTTCTTTTGAACAAGAATCGACTGGAAGGATCTATTCCAGCTGCAATTGGGAATTTAACATCCCTGATGTCGTTGATTATCTATGATAATCAACTCAGTGGACCGATTCCAGGCAGCATTGGCAGCCTGAAAAGGCTTGAAGTTATTAGAGCTGGAGGCAACAAAAACCTGGCAGGCTCAATCCCACAGGAAATTGGCAGTTGTACCAATTTGATCATGTTAGGCCTGGCAGAAACCAGCATTTCAGGATTCCTCCCTCCATCCCTCGGCCTCTTGCAAAAACTCGAAACCATTGCTGTCTACACCACTCTTCTCTCCGGCCAAATTCCACCGGAATTAGGCGCCTGCACTTCCCTGGAAAACATCTACCTCTACGAAAACTCCCTTACCGGCTCAATCCCGACAAATCTTGGTAACCTTCGTAGTCTACAAAACCTCCTTCTCTGGCAAAACAATTTGGTGGGAACCATTCCTCCCGAGCTTGGAAACTGCCATCAACTACTCGTAATCGACATTTCCATGAATTCGTTAACAGGCAGCATCCCTGAAACTTTTGGGAGCCTGGTCTCATTACAAGAGCTGCAGCTGAGTGTAAACCAAATATCCGGCAAAATTCCTGCAAAACTCGGGAATTGTACGGCCCTCACTCACATCGAACTTGACAACAATCAAATCACTGGTACTATTCCATCAGAATTTGGGAATCTGCCAAATCTGACGCTGTTATACTTGTGGCAAAATAGCCTGGAGGGTAATATTCCACCATCTTTGTCTGCATGTCATAAGTTGGAGGCGATTGATATGTCACAGAATACATTGACAGGTCCAATTCCAAAAGGTATTTTTGAGTTGCAGAAACTGAACAAGCTTTTATTATTATCTAACAATCTTTCCGGCAACATACCGCCGGAAATCGGGAACTGTTCGTCCCTGATTCGATTCCGGGCCAGTAGTAATATGCTTACAGGGCCAGTTCCGTCAGAAATCGGGAGGTTGAAGAATATAAATTTCTTGGATCTGGGTTCAAACCGGTTAACCGGAATTATACCGATAGAGATCGCTGGATGCCAAAATCTGACGTTTCTTGATCTGCATTCAAATTCTCTCTCTGGACAGTTGCCAGGGAATTTGAACCAGCTAGCCACGCTCCAGCTCTTGGATGTATCTGAGAATTTCGTTGAAGGTACGCTGAATCCGAGTCTTGGCTCATTGAGTTCACTGACAAAGCTTATCCTTAGGATGAACAGGCTATCTGGTTCAATACCAACCCAACTCGGTTCGTGTTCCCGGCTTCAGTTGCTTGATTTAAGTAGCAATGGGCTCGACGGACAGATTCCGGCGAGTTTGGGGAAGATTCCGGCATTGGAGATTGCTCTGAATTTGAGCAGGAATAAACTTTCCGGTGAGATCCCATCAGCGTTTACCGCATTGGATAAGCTTGGAGTTTTGGACCTTTCCTACAACCAGCTATCTGGGGACCTTCGTTATCTGGCCGAACTTCAAAATCTTGTGGTGTTAAATGTGTCACATAATCAATTCTTGGGACACGTGCCTGACACGTCATTCTTCTCCAAGCTGCCACTTAGCGTTCTAGCTGGCAATCCCGAGCTGTGTTTTTCCGGTAATGAGTGCTCTGCCGACAAGGGTGGAGCCACTAAACACGGCAAGTCGGCGAGGGTGGCAATGGTGGTGTTGCTCTGTACTGCATGTGTCCTACTATTGGCTGCACTCTACATTATCCTCGGAGGCAAAATGCGGGAACGTGGTGCCCACAATTCTGATTTGGACAGCGTCGGCGATGTAGAGTTAGGTCCACCATGGGAGGTCACGGTGTACCAAAAGCTTGATTTGTCAATTGTTGATGTAACCAAGTGTTTGACAGCTGTCAATGTGATTGGTTGCGGGCGATCGGGCATAGTTTATCGAGCAAACATTCCATCAGGATTAGTTATAGCTGTAAAAAGATTCCGGACATCGGAAAAGTGCTCTGCATCGACATTTTCGTCTGAGATTACGACGTTAGCTCATATTCGACACCGGAACATTGTTAGACTATTGGGTTGGGCAGCTAACCAGAAGACCAAGCTATTGTTCTACGACTACATGCCTAATGGTACATTAGGTTCATTGTTGCACGAGGGATGTGGAGGCATAGTAGAGTGGGAAACTCGTTTCAAGATCGCTTTAGGAGTGGCGGAGGGCTTAGCCTACTTACACCATGACTGCGTGCCCCCAATCCTTCACCGAGATGTCAAGGTGCACAACATACTCTTAGGGGATCATTATGAACCATGTTTAGCTGATTTCGGGCTTGCCAAGTTCATCGAGGAAGAAAATGCTTCATTTTCAGCAAACCCCCAATTTGCAGGATCATATGGCTACTTTGCTCCTGGTAAGTTTTTAATCAACTATTAACTTCTGTTACTTTTCTAAATTCATGTTTATATCTGGCATGAGTTGACTAAAATTTGTTTCTTTTGGTCGTAGAATATGCTTGCATGGTAAAAATTACTGAGAAGAGCGACGTCTATAGCTATGGAGTCGTGTTGCTAGAAATCATAACTGGGAAGAAACCAGTTGATCCATCGTTCCCTGATGGACAACACGTGATTCAATGGGTTCGGGATCACCTAAAGAGTAAAAAGAACCCTGTTGATATCATTGATCAAAAGCTTCAAGGCAATCCGGACACACAAATTCAAGAAATGCTCCAAGGCCTTGGAATAGCCCTACTCTGCACCAGTAACCGAGCAGAGGATCGCCCTACAATGAAAGATGTCGTGGCCTTATTGAAGGAAATCCGGCATGAGCAGACTACCGTAAGTGAATCCCACAAAACAGCCAGCAAATCATCTAAAATCTCCGAAGTTCCATCGAATTCATCCACATCTGTGATCCCAGCTCAGTTGCTCGTCCAAGGGTCGTCTAATTGCTCGTTTGCTTACTCCTCTTCCTCAGCAAGTTACAATACAATACATCAATAATTCAAGCAATGTAACATTAAGAGTAGAACAGCACTGTAAAAAGTACTTGCAAGCGTTTAGGTTAAGCTGAGTGTATAGTAACCTAACAAAACTAGTTCTTTCTAGTGGATGAGGCTGTGATTTAATTACAACAATCCAACTCTTTTGTTGCCTATTCAAGCATTTATACAATATGCTAGCACTAATTCTTGTGTCTAAGCTGTGTTTATTCAAGCATTGTTTTGTTATTTTAACCTGCCACATGGTACAACCGAAAAATACTGAGCTAACACGATAAGGAGAAAAATCAACACGAGCGTTAACAAAAGCTTCTTTATTCTCTAGTCACGTAATCACAGACATGTTTGTATCCAAAAGTTCAACAAGGCATACTTATGGAAAACAGTTCAAATGCATTATCGCCAAGAATGCCAACTTGAGACGTGAGAACGCAAAATTTGATAGCTTAAACTTAGCTCGATTGTTTTCTAAACCACATCGTTTGAACTAAAAAATTATGGTATACTAGATCATTACGCGTTTCTTTGGCTCATACAATATCCAAATTTCAGTGACCTCCCAACATAATCTGACATGAACAAGATTCTTTCTTAAGTAAATCTTATTTGAAGAAGAAAATATTTCCCAAAAATTCAATTCACAATTAATGAATTGAGAGTGAAATACACGTGCCTCTAATAATCCACCCCATATTGAAAAGACTAGTCCCATGTGCATGAATGTATAGGATATCAACCTTTAATAGGTTACTTTGTACACAAGTTCTTTTCCATCATTCTGTATGAAAAGGGAGCGTTGAGGCAGGCAGGGACAGACATGGTAAGAGAAATTTGGACTCTAGCCAAGCCTCAAGTTCATCCCAATTTTTTAACTTCATTATATGGGTTCAAACGTAATAACCTTAAAACTCTATGTCGAGGTATTAGAAATTTTAGTACACCTTAAGCTTCCGTTTGAACCACATTAAAATTTTCATTATCATTCTTCTACTTATTTTCAACCACACATTCTTCAACAAAATAATATTTTTCACACTTTTCCTTAATTTTTAAACCACACATTCTCCATCAATCTACTATTCCAAAATAATGTGGCTCAAAAACACCCTAATATGCAGTTTCGATTCTACCTTTGGAGGTGTGGTGGTGGGCGGGAATGACAGAATGATTGATTGAACGCATAAACAATTCAGCCTCTCCCCTAGCTCATTAATCGTCACTTTTCTTGTTTCATAATCATACAAGATGAGAATGTGCTTCTTGCATTGCATGTTAATCGGGGAGGACCCCCACCACACAATAAAGATGCATACAAACTAGTACCTTTTTTATACCCCTTTTACCATTTTGTCCGTTCTTACTAGTCTATTTATTACAGCTTTCTCCGAACCTCTAAAAAAATACAATCGTGTAGGACGACGTGGTCACGTTATCATTGTCCTGTTTGGACTCGTCTGTTAGCAAGACCGAATCTAGGCATGAACAATGGCGTTGCCTCATCGTGTCAACTTCTTCATTTCCCTCCTTTCAAAAGTGGAGCTCTGTGTATTATGACCTCTGGTGAAGATAAATAACATTATTCTGAATTTAGAATTAATTAATTCACTCGTTTGAGTTTTCTTGTCGACAAAAGCTACTCAGTTAATATCAAAATTTCTGGGCCACTTTTTACAAATGATTGGCCCTAAAGACTTGGGCTGTGCGTGCATTTTTGTGGGGCTAGACACAAGGGATGTCATTGCATAGTGCAGGCGGTACAATAATGTCATGCAACAAAATATTGGTTTGGTCTCACGTGAGGGGCGCACGTGCAAGTATACACATTTAGTGCTTTTTAAAGAGTAAATGGAAGCCCACATGACTAAGATATGGATGGACAACTTTTTGATGCTATAATATTAGCAAAGAGACAAGAAAGTATGTAAAAAAAAGATTCCCAACTTGGATTACAAGGACGTTATCCCACTCAAATTGAAGGGTCGAATGGATTCCAACTTAAAATTTATGTCCATTTCATTTCGTTTCTTATCGTCTCACGTGATGTTCATTGGTCGAACTTGCCGTGCTCCAAAAGTGTGGGTTCGACTTGTGAAGGATATGGATTGAGACTAGAGAAGAAGCCAGGGGCGGAGGGGATGGGGGTCCAGGACCCCCCCAATTTTTTGGAAATTTTTTTTTTATTTATTTTTTAATTTTTTGGCCTCAAAATTTTTTTTTTAATCTCCTAATCCTGCCAATTCAATTATTTGTGAAGTTGTATTGTTTATCAATTATGAGTGAAAGAGTTTCATCAATCCTCATACTCGGTGATGGAGAAATATTTCAAAAGATTAGTAGTTTCTTTTATATGTTTCTTGATTTTTTTGTGAAATTTTCGTACATTAATTTATGTTCATTTGTTTCATTTATCCATCACAAAGTACCAACTTTCCTCATTTTAACAGATAATGTTTCAAAAAAAAATTTCG